GGAAAGAAAAAGCTGGCGCCGCCACTGCTCGGAAGGAACAAGCCTAATAGAGTTGAGTGAGGAGGGGGGTTAATTAATGCTAATAGGCATTATTATAATGAAAAACTTGCAGAAGAGCAGTGTAGCTAAATTTAAAGGTTAAGTTGGGTACAGTGCTGTCAATTTGCGGGTAAATGCTCACATCGGTGAGCATTTAGATATGCTGTGGGGTAAAGTGTGAGGATTAACTTTTTGTGAGGATTTGTGAGGATTACTACTATACTACTGGAAACATTGAATTATTTTAATAGTATACAATAAAATTATTAATTTATTTAAAAAAATTATTTATTTTTCGGTAAGTCCGGCAACACTGATGATCGATAGTTCAGACTGTTGACTAGAGATGGCACCGACAGTCTATGACATTACAAAATACAAACGAAATCATGTGTGCCAACAGAATAAGATTAAAATGTAATAAAAACAAAAACTTCGTTTATTTTGCATGGGTTAATTTTATTTTTTTTTAGAGTAATGGATAAGTGGCTTAAGAAATTAAGTTCAAATACGGTAAGTTATCAATAATATACTGTTGAATAACTTTATTTTAATAATTATTTTTTAAGTGAGTATTTACTTATAAATAAAATTAAAAAAACCTTTTTAAATAAATCATAAATGTTTTATTAGACAGTGACTGGCTCATATTTAAATACGATTCTGCTTATAGGTAAAAGATAACTGTGATATTAAAATATTTTACTTTTTTTTTCCTTTAAAATTTTATTTTTGTTTGGTTGTATATAGAATGATTATTTTTTTAATTTATTAATTGTTTATTATTTGTTTTTAATAAAAAAATCTGAGATGATATAAATGTTTTTTAATATAAATAAGTGATAACTTATTAAATTGTATATCTTATTATTTTTTTAAGTTTTGGTGAGGATTTTGTGAGGATTTTGATTTTATTGCGAGGATTACTGTGAGCATTTTGAAAACCTATTGCGGGTATTATCGCAGTTCTCGATTGACAGCACTGGTTGGGTAGGTTCTTAATGTTAAAAAAATCACAATGGCGAACCGGCGAAACAGTTTCGTTGAACTGCATTTATAGCATTATTTTTTTTTATAACATAATTACACGACCAAGTAGATCCGCATGCATGGGCGTGTAATACCTATATATTTCAAAAATTACCTATCTATTGAAATTGAATAAATATGTATGTACCTACCTACCTAGATAGTTTTATTTGTATCATTTTCACTAATAAATTACGAATTCAATCTTACAAACCATTTTATCTTTAGTCCCTTATAAAAAAGACCATATTTCATTATTAATCAATCGTTTAATCAAATCTTTATACAGATTTTTGTAGGAAATTGAATGATCTTCAAAAACGAATTTCTTCTCAACGGTTAAAGTAATCAATTAAACGCATTAGACCTTTTTTGTAGAGCGTTAAATTTTCATACTCATACTCATTTGACAATTAATTTTCAATGAGTTACAAAATTATTAAAAAAAATTATTTTTTTTTAATTCTTCAAATTTTGATCTTGAATATTTTTTTAGCACTTTTTGCACTAGTTAGGTAAATAGCTATTTGATATTTAATATTGTCTTTATCTTAGATTTTCCAAATCAGCCTACGATAGTTGACGTTGAAGGGAAAATAGGAACAAAGTATTTAAAAATAATCTTCTCCTTAATATCGAGCCCTTTTATAAAAAGTTTTGAGAAAAAATTATTTGTTTATTAATAATGCACTGTTTAATTAAAAAATCACTATCTCGTAAAAATTGTTAAAATTTTTAGAGGATGCAACATTTTGAGACATGATCTGAAATTTTCATTTATTTTTTATAAATATTTTACGAGATTATGAATCTTTATTAAAACGGTGCAGAAATGTTACATTTAAATTTTTTTTTAATAAATATGCCAAAAAAGTAGTTTGTTTTAATAATGTAAAGATCCCTATTCGTCCAACAATTGCTTTTGTTACGGCAAAAAGATCATTTTTATAAAAATTATTTATCTACAAACGCTACTTTCAGTAATAGCATTTGCATTCATTATAAAGTAAATTAACGTTATGTTTATAAAAATATCACTCTTCCAGATGCAGAAACGCATTGATAAATATAGTTATTATTATTTGTCCAAAAAAACAGTTCTATACCGTTTACAAAAACGTTTTGTAGTATTAATGAAACCCTAATGGTATTATTCATAGAAATTTTGTAAATTTTACAAATCCCTTTTCGTTTAAAACAAAATTTTTTTTATAGTATTAACAAATATTATGTAGATTTAACAACAAATTAATTGTTAATTCAATAAACTTTTTTCATTGTAACAATTGTTACCCATTAATGGTCACATTTTCAACCTACTGTTGGGTGTTGGGTAGTTTTTTTTAAATAATTGCAAGGCATTAAAACAAATTATTTATTATAACAAAAAAATAACTCACTCTTTATATGATGAACAAAATAAAAAAAATGACTCACTTTTTAAACAACAAGTCTGCATCGTTTATAGAATAGACCTTAAATATTTCTTTTAGAAAACGTCGAAGTTTTAATTTTCTTAGTGATTTTTTTGATATTTTTATCATGCTTAATTTAACCACACTTCACTCGCACAAGTGAAATTAATAAGATTATAACACAGACTGTGGATTATAAAGTTATGTTCACCAAGGAGAGCGCTGGCCCTTTCCCCCTCTTTTTAAGGGAAATAAAAAAAATGTTGTTACCATTGCAAAACAATATTATATTAGAAAAGTATTTTTATACCAATAAAATATTTTTGTTATTGTTCTTAATGTAAGCTATTAACAAAGATTTTTTAACTGAAATAAAATTAATTTGAATTATAACGATAGTTATTTAAAAAAGACAAATATGCCATAGTAAAATGAACAGATTTTACTATAACAACTGCGCATTACTTTATGTAAGAGCAATTCACACACAACTATAGATTTAAGAAAAACATTTTAAGTTCGACAAAGATTTACTGTACATAAAGTATTTCTTATTGCCATGACAAATGATAACAACTATTACTTAATTATAGTAAATGAGAATGTTATCAACAGTAAAAAAAGTTTATTCTGTAAATAAAAATATACTCATTACTTTGACAAATCGTAGGTTTTTGTCCCAATAAGACACTGAAACTTTAATAAAAAAGGTACAATTTTAAATTTAAGTTAAATAATGTATTATTTTATTAATCGCTTACAAAATTAGTTTCATTATTAGTGCATTTACATTTTTCTTAGTGTAGGCTTATATGGCATTTTAAATTTCCACTCATAACACCAACGCATAGACAAATCACGGTTTGCCTGAACGAAGTTTAGGTCACATAAAAATGACGCCAAAAACTGATTGCAGTTTCTTGTTCGGGACCCTTTGGTGAATTAAAAATGATATTTACCAAAATCCCAGCTGATCCTCTTTTCGAAATTTTTTGAAAATTTATGATTTTTTTTTAAATTTTTGTTTATTTCAAAGTCTACCTTTGACAGAGTACACATTTGTACACTGATTTTTATAATATTGGAGTATATTGTTAAGGAGATTTGGAGAATACTGTTTATACTGTGCACATCATTTAATATATACAGGGTTAGCCAAAAATCGGTTTTTTTAATAAAGCAAAAGCGTAAATTCATGATTTTGGGATAACACGCAAAAAAGATATACTTATACCCACCCATGTTTTTTTAGATATTTTTATGTTTATCAGGCTACAAAATGGGATTCTTATCAAGAATTTATAAGAAAAATTGATTTTGAATAAAATTAAATAAAATAAAAATTTTTGGAGATAAATCTGTTTTGTGCATTATGCTTTTTACTATATAAAAACGTGATTTTTGGCTAACCCTGTATAAATCTAATGATGTGCTCAGTATGAAAACCGTATTCTCCAAGTCTCGTTAACAATATACTCCATGGAGTATTGCAATATTATAAAAATCGGTGTATAAAAGTGTATTCTGTCAAAGGTAAGATAAACAAAAATAAAAAAAAAATTAAGCAGCTAGGATTTTGGTAAATATCATTTTAAAGTTACCAAAGGGTCCCGAACAAGAAACTGCAATCAATAAAAATCGGTGTACAAATGTGTACTCTGGCAAAGGTAGACTTTGCGATAAACAAATAATTAAAAAAAAAAATGTTTTTTTAACAAATTTAAAGAAAAGCAGTTAGAATTTTGGTAAATATCGTTTTTAAATCTCCAAAGAGTGCCGATCAAAAAACTTTAACCAGTTTTTCGTTCAAAATTGAAAACTTCTAAAAAGCCTAAGTTAAACAACATTTTAAATATTCTCTAAGCGTTATTTTATTTAATTTTATTAAAAATCTACTTTTTTAATAAAAGGTTAATAAGAATGCCATTTTGTAACCTAATAAACGTAGAAATATCTAAAAAAAATGGGGATACATCTGTTTTGCGTGTTATGCCAAAATCATGAATTTACGCTTTTGCTTTATTAAAAATAAGCGATTTTTGGCTCAACCTGTATATATCAAATGATGTGAACAGTATTAAAAAGTATTCTTTAAGTCTCCTTAATAATATACTCTAATTTTATAAAAATCGGTGTACAAATATGTACTCTGTCAAAGGTAGACTTTGAAATAAACAAAAATTTAAAAAAAAAATCATAAATTTTCAAAAAATTTCGAAAAGAGGATCAGCTAGGATTTTGGTAAATATCTTTTTAATTCACCAAAGAGTCCCGAACAAGAATCTGCAATCAGTTTTTGGCACACCGTGAAATAGTTCACTGGAACAGTTTCAGTAGAACCAAATCAGGCGTTTTAAAACAGCATAAAATTGCATAACGAACACTTTCGTTTGTTGAAAACGGCGCGCTCTGCTCGGTACCGTTCCTCGCTTTTCGTTGCCATTCGATGAACATGCTCCTCTACCTTTCACCTTTATTTCGTCTGAAGATGCTTTTCGCAGGCATTCGGCGTTCTGCTGCAATGCCATGTAGATCGCGACTGCAACGATGCGCGCCAAACTCAAGCTGCAATGGTTTTTGGTGCCTTTAATTTTGACACTTTATCTCAGCGGTTTTTTTCTGTACAAAACCGCGCCGGTGCAAGTGATCGCGGTGAGGACCACGAGTCATACCACTCAAGCGTCGATTTCTTTCGCGCCTTTAAGACATGTGACCAAATCGCTGGCCGAACTGGATAAGATGGATGAGATTTCGAAGAATTTTTTGTTCTTCAATCATGTGCCAAAGTGCGGTTCGGAAGTGCTGATTTTGCTGCTGCAGAAAATGCAGGGGTTCAATAATTTTAGACACGTGAGATTGAAAGGTGGCAGTAAGAGGAAGTTAAACAGATTGCAACAGGTGATGATAGTTGTTATATTGTATTTTAACTTAAGTTTATAAAAACCACTTTTTTTCCTACCTGTACTATAATGAGATCCATTATGATACGTGTTAGATAGTAAAAGCAAAATTTTAAATTTAACCCCGCCAAAAATTGTAACAGGCCGCAAACAACTTATTACCCGTAAAATCAACAAAAGAGTACGAAACTTTACTTTATTATGATAGTCGTAGAAAATACAGTATATGCAACTACCATTTAATGGACTACTAAGACTCATTACCACTATTATGAATCTACTGATTAATTTATTAATTAATCCTTGAGGTTTCTATTTTTTGGCTTTTAGCTTGTTATCGTGTATTATTAACAATTTCAGTCATTTAAGCTCTCGTTATTTTGTCATTATTTTAAAGTATTTATTTAATATTTATAATTTTGTTTTCTCAACAACTTAGCTTGATATTATTTAAGCTTGTCGTTATTTTAGCTTGTCAACGTTTTTGCAAAAATACCGACATTTTGCAAAAATAACAACATATTTTAGCTTGTTGCCATTTGAGCTTGTCATCATTTGAGCGTCTTATTTTAGCTTGTCTTTATTTAACTTTTTGTTATTTTAGCTTGTTATCATTTTAACATTATTGTAATTTTAGCTAATCAACATTTTTCCAAACATCATTTAAACTTGTCTTTATTTTAGCTTTGTTGGTATTTAAGCTTGACATCATTTAAACTTGTCGTTATTTTAGCTTGACATCATTCAAGCTTGTGGTTACTTTAGCTTGTCAACATTTTTTCAATAAATACTTAAGCTTGTCGTTGGTTTAGCTTGTCCTTTAAGCTTGTAGTTATTTAACTTTTTGTCATTACTTAAGCTTTTCGTTATTTGGGCTAGTCATTATTTAAGCTGATCATTTTGGCATGTCGTTATTTAAGCTTGTCTTTACTTGTCAACATTTTTTGAATTATTATTTGTTGGTATTTTTGCAATTATCATTTAAGCTTGTCGTTGGTTTACATGATCGTTGCATAATATAAGAATTCTATTTTTTGGCTTCTATCTTGTGGTTATTTTCACAATTTCAGTCATTTTGGCTAGTTAACATTTTAACTTGACATCATTTAAGCTTGTCGTTATTTTAGATTGCCAACGTTTTTGCAAAAATAACAACATATATTAGCTTGTTGCCATTTGAGCTTGTCATCATTTGAGCGTCTTATTTTAGCTTGTCTTTATTTTACTTTTTGTTATTTTGGCCAGTTATCATTTTATCTTTGTTGTAATTTTAGCTTGTCAACATTATTGCAATAGTCATTTTGCTTTGTTGGTATTTTAGCTGGACATCATTTAAACTTGTCGTTATTTTAGCTTAACATAATTTAAGCTTGTCAACATTTTTTCAATTATTTATTATTATCAATATTATTTTGGCTTGTCTTTATTTAACTTTTTGTTATTTTAGCTTCTTATCATTTTAACTTTATAGTAATTTTAGCTTGTCAACATTTTTCCAATCATCAATTAAACTTGTCGTTATTTTAGCTTGACATCATTCGAGCTTATCCTTACTTTAGCTTGTCAACATTTTTTCAATTATTATTCAAGCTTGTCGTTGGTTTAGCTTGTCGTTATTTAACTTTTTGTCATTTTAGCTTCTCATTACTTAAGCTGATCATTTTAGCATGTCGTTATTGCAATGTCATTACTTAAGCTTTTCGTTATTTTAACTTGTCATCGTTTTTGCAAAAATTACAACATATTTTAGCTTGTTGTCATTTGAGCTTGTCATCATTTGAGCGTCTTATTTTAGCTTGTCTTTATTTAACTTTTTGTTATTTTAGTTTCTTATTATTTTAACTTTGTTGTAATTTTAGCTTGTCAACATTGATGCAGTCTTCCTTTAAACTTGTTGGCATGACATCATTTAAAACTTGTCGTAACTTTAGCTTGCCAAAATTTTTTCAATTAATATTTAAGCTTTTCGGTATTTTGGCTCGTCGTTATTTAAGGTGATCATTTTACAATGTCGTTATTTTAGCTTGTCAACGTTTTTGCAAAAATAAAAACATATTTTTGCTTGTCATTTAATCTTGTCATCATTTGAGCGTCCTATTTTAGCTCGTCTTTATTTCACTTTTTGTTATTTTACCTTGTTATCATTTTAACACTGTTTTAATTTTAGCTTGCAACATTTTTGCCATCATCATTTAAACTTGTCTTTGTTGTTATTTTAGATTGACATCATTTAAAATTCTTGACATAATTCAAGCATGTAACGACTTTAGCTTGTCAACATTTTTTCAATAATTATTTAAGCTTGTCGTTGGAATAGCTTGTCCTTTAAGCTTGTCGTTATTTAACTTTTTGCTATTATTTAAGCTGATCATTTTAGCATGTCGTTATTTAAGCTTGTCAACGTTTTTGCAAAAATAACAACAAATTTTTGTAATTTTAGCTTGTCAACATTTTTACAATCATCATTTAAACTTATCTTTATTTTAGCGGTGTTTGGTATTTTAGCTTGACATCAATTAAACTTGTTCTTATTTTAGCTTGACATCATTTAATCTTGTCGTTACTTTAGCTTTTCAATATTTTTTGAATTATCATTTAAGCTCGTCGTTGGTTTAGCTTCTCATTTAAGCTTGTTGTTTTTTAACCTGTCATTATTTAAGCTTTTCGTTATTTTGGCTTGTTATTATTTAAGCTGATCATTTTGAATTTAAGCGCCCAAAACACAGTAACACAATTTTTTTAAATAACCTTAAACACTAGTGGAGTTACACCACCTATTTTAATTGTTTATTTTGAATCACCATACAACTATTTAAAAGATCATTTCTGCAACAGTAAATCTTTTTGTTACAAATTTCAAGGATCATTCCTTATTAAGAACAATGACTTACATATTAAACTAAACCAACACAATAAATTATAAAACCAAAAGTTATGCTAATATTGTTTATCTCAATAAAGGCAATTTAAAAGATTAAAAATCATCAACAACAATTTTTATGTAAATGTCAAGACGTGTATCTTCGTGTTACACCATAAATGAAACCTTGGACTTTAAAAAATCATTATTAATGTGAGATATAAATTGTATGGAAGAATATTTTCTCGGTTAGTAATATTTAATTACGATACTTTGTATTCTTCGTCTGTTTTTATTGTTTTGGCTCATTAAATTTGCATGTTGGCAACATTTTCTATTCGTACTTTTTAAAATGGTTATTAAAGTTTCTCTCTTAAATTTTGTCTTAATTAATTGTTTTTGCAAAATTTTCTGTTCGTACTTTTTAAAATAATTATTTAAATTGTTCTCTTACATTTTTCATTAATGAATTAATTAAATTCATTAATGAGCAATTACATCGACATTTACCAAATGAGCCTACATTTTTGTATTTTTAAGTACCTAAATATCCGGTCTCTATTAATGATTAATATCATTCGAACATTTTAAATGTAAAAATGTTCCTTTTATGTAAACTTGGCAATTATGGTTTAATCATAAATAAATTAATTAATTTTGTAATAAATGATAAATGTGCTCACGAAAGGCGAATTATGTTTATGAAAGTTTTCTGATATTAACTAATTTTAAAGCGTGTTTTTATGTACATATTTATTATTGCAAATTAAATGAATCAGCCGTACATTTTTTTTGCTATGCAATGTTATAACTATAGTTAGGTAATGTTATATAACATTACCTAACTATAGTTATAACATTATGAATTTATAACATATGTTATAAATTCATAAAGTAAACATAAACAGTTGTAAAATGATTTGTGGATTTTTTTAGGAAGAATTGGTAGAAGAATTCTACGATATTCTACGAAAACAACCTGTTCGTTTGAGTTTCGATAGACATACTTATTTTGTAAATTTTACATCTTTTGATAAACAGTCACCTACCTACATAAATTTAATCAGGGACCCAATTGATAAAATTGTATCAAGGTAAGGCGTTTATCAATTTCTAATAAGCATAGAGGTTATCAAATTGGAATTTACAGAATTTAATCCCGGCGCATTCGCCAAATTTATAAATAAATAATAGTATATTATGTATCAAGTTTGATAAACGCCATTGAGTGTATAGAAAAGTTTATAAACGAGGTGAATACTATACTTTTTCTACGACAAATACTTATTATTATCTTAAATTGATTTTTGACTTAAATGGCGTTTATCAAACTTGATACATAATAAACTATTATTAACTAGTTTTTTACACTTCAATAATGCAAAACTGTTGGATACAAAAAACAAGTATTTTTTTTGATATAATGAATTGGCATTGTATGTATTTTAAATGGAATCAGAAAATTGTTTTAGAGAGAATTAATTGTTAATTATATAAATGACTTGCTTGTTTTATAGTTAAATACAATATATATTCCATGTTGAATGTTTCAACAGTTTTATGTAACTTAAACCAAGTTTCCTCATTTGAACTTTTACGTGTATTGTAAATAATTAAATTAATTAATTTTTTAAATTGCTTAATCTTATTATTATTTTTAGATCGCCAGGTAAAAATGGTAAGGGAAGTAATGAGTATTATTATAAATGCCTAATGAAGAAAAAAGGTGATTGTAACTTTAAAAATGGACTGTCTTATGATTTAAGTATTCCCTATTTTTGTGGACAAGATAGTAGATGCATGTAAGTATTTTTTTATGCTAGGTATTTATTAAGATGAGGATACATAGTATAATTAACCAATTAATTTTTAATAGGATATTAAACAATGACTGGGCATTAAAAACAGCCAAAGAAAACGTACAGAGATATTTTGAAGTTGTTGGAGTTTTGGAAGAATTAAACTCCACTTTGGAAGTTTTGGAGAATAAACTACCGAATTTTTTTAAAGGAGTACAAAAGCACTATCAAACGTATCTTCTAAGTAATAACTTACTTATATGACAAAAATTTAGTTACTTTATGTTTTGTTTTTAGGTAATTTTAAGAATAAAAAACCCATTAAAGTTCCTAATCGAATAAGAAAAAAGTTAAAGGATACCTTAAGGACGGAGTATGATTTTTATGACTGGATTAAGGGAAGATTGTTTGGTCAACTGCAGATTTTATATGGAGACCATCAATCGCATTAAAAATCATTTAGATCGCTTAAACTATTCGTAAACGTTACCAAAGACTGCTTAATTTTTATTATTTTTATACCTGTATTTAATTCAATAAAAAATGTCAAACGTGTTATTTCTTTTTAGAATGGTGATGAAATTTTAAAAAATGTATCATTTTCTGTAAATCAGTTTTCTTGCTTTTGCAATTGGTTAATAGATGGCGACACAAATAAAAATATGAATATGCGCCATCTGTGATACAACGTTAATACTACATTCCATACAAAAAAGAAATTCTCTCAAGCGATAGTGCACTTTCCATGGAAATTGTAAATAATTTTTGATATTTTATTGGAGGACCTTATTTGCTTACAAAATCTAAAATAATTAAAATTTTTAACTTTGGTCACAAATCTTTTAAAGTTATAGAAATTTTTGCTTGTTAAATACTCTGCGCGTCAAAATTAACGCATAACAAGTAAAAAAAATCCAACTCTAAAACGCCTTTACCAATTTTTATAGAATTTTGTATAAAAATACTTCAACTTATATCTCAGTTTGCGTGTTCAAGGGTTTTTGAGAAAATATCCTTAAAGATCTTTTATTTAATTTTATAGGGAAATTTATTTTTAAGTAAATAAAAAATATGTTGTGAAAGACCGTATTTTTGTTAGTATACCCTGAAAATTTTGTACAAATCAAATGAACAGTAACAAAAATACAGCCCCTTTTTTATTATTTTGCTGAAAAGTTGTCATTTTTACCGACTTTGAAGCGCTGTATCTTTGTTACTGTTCGTTTGATTTATACAAAATTTTCAGTGTATACTAACAAAAATACGGTCTTTAACAGCATATTTTTTATTTACTTAAAAAAAAATCCCTTACAGTTATTTTCATCAGGTATTATTAAAAAGTAAAATTGTTATGAACAAAGGTAGCAATAGACTTGCAGCCGAAACTACCAAAAACATAGTGCGATATCTAGTGGGTAATTTGTACAAATAAGGCGTTATTTGCTCCAAAAATACAGTTTATCAAGATCTACACTTTAAAACAAATCGCACAATAAATAAAGATTTTACATTTAACCGTTAAAACAGTACAAATATTAAGTCTTTCTCTATAATAATAATAATCTTTATTTTTCCAAATTGACAAACAGTATTTGTATAGGAATGGTCGGTAAATAGCGCAATAAAAGACTTAAAACTAACTTAGGGCTAAACTAGAATAAAATAAAATACATATAAAATGCATAGGTACAACTTAAAAAAAACATATATGTAATTCAGATTACTGGTTTAAAAATTCAGATACGTCATATAAACACAGAGATAATAAGTACTGCTTTAATTTATTTTTTAAAATATGTATGTTTTTAGATTCCTTTATAGAATTTGGCAATTTATTAAATGTTTTTAAACTCTGGCGAGTTAAAATTTATATCCCGTTTTGTTGAGGGAACATAAAAATTGTTTTTATTTCTTGTATTAAAATTATGTACATTGCTGACTAGATTAAATTTTGAATTATTTTTATAAACAAAAACAGACAACTCCAAAACACACAGACTAGACAAAGTCAAAATATTAAAATTATTGAAAACTGGTCTACATGACTCCTGATTTTTAACAAAATTTTTTGTGAAATAAAAACGTTTTTAAAAAGGGGTGAGCTTCCCCAGAAACAAATGCAGTATCTTAGTCTTGATTCAATATGGGCATAATATAAATTTATTAGTTGAGAAATAGTGAGTACACTTCTAATATTGAAGAATTTTACACTATCAGTGGACACAATAACATCTTTATCAATGTCTATATTAATAGGGTTACATAGTTTTCGCCTATTGTGAAATTGCACCAATGTAGTTTTTTCTGTGTTAAAATAAAGTTTGTTTGTTAAAAAAATCGGGTACTTTTATTAGAACATTATTACAATCCTCTAATAAACTTTTATTATATTTATTTGAAACTAGAAGTGACAAATCATCAGCATACATAGTAAAATTATTATTCAAGTATTTTTCAAGGTTATTAACGTATAAAATAAAAAGCATGGGACCGAGAACTGAGCCTTGAGGGACCCCCATCTCAATGTCCAAGTAATTTGACGTGACATCAGACATAACATTTGAAAAAAAAAATACATGCCTTAAGGGTTTTTTGCTATAATTAAACAAAGATGATGTTAAAAGTTGATTATTTATTGAAAAAAAACCGTAAATACAATAATAGAAACAGTACAGATGGCAAATAACAATAAAGAAATGCAGTTTTAACAATTTACACTGGTGTAAAAAAAAATCATGTTAACATAGAAATAAACCATGACGCAGATCGTCACCGAGAGCGTCGATCACTTCTTCTTGGGGTCCTTGAGACCGGCGCCGGCGTTGAACTTGAAGAAGATGATGTCTCCGTCCTCCACCGTGTAATTGCGGCCCTGCTGCCGGTACTTACCGGCGCCTTTGCACGCCGCCTCAGAGCCCTCTTCCTTGAAATCGACGAACTTCATCACCTCGGCCATGATGAAGCCTTTCTCGAAGTCCGTGTGGATCCTACCGGCCGCTTGGGGCGCCTTCGTGCCTTTCTGTATCCCAAGTGGAGCCAGTTTAGTCATTATGCCAAAAGAGGGCGCAACAGGTTTTGACATTCGAAAATGTCTTTACATTCTTAGATGTGTTTTAACTAGAGATGGGAATCGAAAAGTTTCCATTTTAAGGAAACTTTCCGTTTTGGAAAGTTTCCAATTGGGAATTTATTTTCATTTTGAAAGTTTCTTTTAAGCTACCGGAAACATTCCTTGTTTTTTTCATTTAAATGTCAATTGTTTAACCGCTGATTTTCGTTAAGGCCATGATACAAGGCCAAGAAACTTTGAATAAGAATTTAATGTGTGTTAATTTAAAGCAGAAGAAGAAGTCTAAATAACGTAAGTTATGTTACATAACCTCAATGAAGCCGGATTATTCAGCATCATCACAAAAAAATTTTTTAAAAAAAGGTAAACAAAATAAAAACTATAAACAAAGTTAAAATCATTCAGGATGGAAGAAAGATATTAATCTTAGATAAATTTAAAATACAGCAATAACACTTTTATTTACCTGTTTGGTTTTAAAAAAATCCTATTTTGTGTTTTTTACTTTTGCTATTTTTTTATGTGCAATGGTAGTCACTACTAGTCCGAAATGTTAATTTTATTTTGCCTGTAGTTTTTTCTTTCATATTTTATCAGTCAGAACTGCAATACTATTTTTAGTATGTTTTACTTTTCAATATTCCTATATATTAGTTACTTTGTCCCTTTTAATTTTTTTTACGTAATATCTAGGATTTACAGGATTTACTAGCAGTGAATTTCTATAATATCTTGAAAACTATTGACTTTAGGTATAGTCTAAATCAAATTATTTATGTTATTAAAATTTCAAATCCATATCGTTTGCGTTTCTCCAGAAACAAATTGAAGCTTGGTTGTGGAGCAAAAAATAAAACTAAAGTAGGTTATTATTTCTAACTTGCTGACATATTTAGTTTATTCATTTTAATAAATTAATGTTTTAAGTTTATAGCGGTTTATAGTACACTTATAAATTGAAACGCAATCATTTGCAACTTATAAACTGTCAAATTATCTTTCATGCTTCCAATGGTAGGTTACCATAGAGAAAAGTCTATTATGCCTACTATGATCAAAATTAGTAAACTTGAAAAAATTTTAAATGTATAAATAAAAGTAATTTTAGCTCCATCTATGGCGATTTTTTTAAATAAATATGTAAGAATTGTGTGTTATATATAATATATTATATGTAATATATAATGTATAATATGTAATATATAATACATTATCTTATAAAACTAAATAAAAGAATATATACTTTGTAAAACACGTTAGTATTATGTCCTTTGAAGGCCTAACTTAAAAATGATGTCTCTTGTACAAACATAATATGCATGTCGAAGTTTATATATCAAATAATAGTTAATTATCAGTACTTTAAAGTGATACACTCAAAATTATAAAACAACGTTGCTTCTTCGACTTTTTAACCCTTATAAAATGGTAAAATTGTAAATTAAATTGTCCCCAGAGCCCCCTGTATGTTAAAATCTAAAAAAAAATACGTTGTTTAATTGCCATTAATAAGGTCTACATTTTTTCTTAATTTCAAATCGATACGTTTTTAAATAAAAATGTTATTACAAAATATCGAAATTTATCTATTTTTAAAACAGTACAGTGACTTAAACCACAGCGGTCAATGGATGAAATTTTTTTTAAATGCACCACTTAGATGGAGAAACAAATGTCCAAAATTTGTTCGATTTTTACGCAAAACCATAGTTAAACAAAAAATAAATAAGATATCATCGATTCGAGAACTTAAAGAAGTATTTTGGTAGTTTTTAAGAAAATCCTTACTCTTGAATGACCTACAAACGAATAATATTTTGTTTGTCTTATTTTTCAATTTAGCAGAACTACGTTGCGACTTAACAACCCTAGTCGGCATCCTTAAATATTCAGGACACAACCCGAACGAAATTTGAATAGTCAGAAAGGACGCAAGAGCCTACTAAAACGACTTTGGTAGCGTTCGTAGCGAAAATAAAAGGAGAGCCATTATTCGAAATTATGGCAAAATGCAAACTAAAATATAAATTGTGCCTGTCGCGCCTCCCTAAAATTCCGTACCACGAGTAGACCAAAGAGAACAATTTGCATAAGAATGCTGGAAACGTTCAGAAAAATCGAGCACGATTCGTTCTCTTATCTTTTGGCTTTAATGCTTAATGATCGCGCAACGGCAATTGAATTTTTTGTTGCCTCCAAGTTTTTTTAGTAATTTTTTTTTTAGTTATAACTCACCTGAATAGTCCAAGCTTTCACTTCGTCAGCTCCTGACGTAAAGAAGTACTCCAATTGTAGAGATTTGTAACCCTGGACCACGATTTTATCCAATGCACTGAAATATTTTTTAATTTTACCTTAATGTCTTTATTATGTTGTACTTTTAATTATCTCCCATAGTACTTCAGATGTTATTTACAATTATATAAAAATAAAACCTTTCATATTTAATCTCTTCCTAAATTGATTATTATATATGTTACGGCTAATGTGCCAACTTGGATAGTTTATAAACTGGCTGGATAGTTTATAAACTAGCCAAACTGTCAGCTATTTTAATTGAAAATGTATTTTCAACTAAATTAGCGGCTAGTTTACAAAATAACCAAGGCTCTTGGCTAATTTACTTGAAATTATTAGGGAAACTAAAATTGCTGGATAGTTTGTATACTATCCAATTCAATTTGGCTAATATGAAAACCAAAATTTCTAGTAACACAAAATAGCCAAGCTTTAGCTAGTTTGTAAACTAACCAACTAATTCTCTGGCTATTGCCCATTTTAGTTGGGTTTTTTGCTCAATGGGGCGGGGGGGCCAATGGGGCGGGGTCGGTTGATATTTTAATTTTGATTTGAATTTTAATTTGATACAATATATTATTCAAAATTTTAAAAATTGTTAAATATCTCGAATCGATTTTGACATTAACTGTCAAACCAAAGACTGTGATACCAACTACCTAAAGTAAAATTTGACCAAATTAAATTTAAGGTATAAAATTAATTTTTTTTTATATAATTTTTGCAAAATAGATAAAATAGCATAAAGAACTCATGTCATAAGACCTTTTATGCGTGCCACAAATTGACGTCTTATGACATTAGTTCTTTAATATACTAATTTGATTATGTATAAGCATACCTGGTGTTACTTTTAAAATAAAAGATATTGACTTTTCAAGTTAGCCTAATTTTTCCTTAGATTTCTTAGGTAATTTGTTGAAAAATGTTAAAGAATTGACAAGGAAACTTTTAAACAATGTTTTAAGATTTCAAAAATACCACCCTCATAGTCGCAAACCTAATAACAAAAAAGTTATGGACTATTTATGATAAACGCGCATTTCTTAAATTTTAACGAAAAAAAATAATAACTCGAAAACTATTCACTTTAGGTTTAGGTATATTAATTTTAGGATAAACCGTAAGTGGCATTTTCTTCAAAATATTTTAGAAAAATAGATGCTTTTAAAATTTCAAATCGAATCTTTTTCCGTTCTCCAAAACCTTTAATGGACCACGAATCTGAAACACCCTGTATACACATGTGTATTAATTATAATAATAATTAATTATAATTATGATTTGTAGAAAATTGAAATAAACCACATATATTTGTACCCCACTTTTATATCCCCTAAATATAGACTTTTAAATGAAATACCCCATTAAGCTTGTCTTATCTAGTTTGTTGTAATTGAAGCGTCACCAAATTGCTGGTTTTTGTATTGCCTCCTCTCTCGAAAAATAATAATCATAGCAATGCAATGCGGTGTAATTTAATTTGGTGTGCCCGGGGGTTCAGCATTGGGACTGTTATTTTCGTCTATTAAAACTAACGACTGAATGACAAATCCATTTTCGAACATCTTTTCAGGTATAATAACAGGTTACCCTCTATCTCCCGATGTATACGACTTTTTTATGCAATTATTTGTCATTAAGTTTTTTTTCATTGTGATCATCCCGACGGTCTTCTTTCCTTCTCTAGAGAGGCAATAAAATCCGTCATTAGGCCCATTTTATTTCGTATATTGCGTAATTATTGTTTTTTCGGCATTAGCTATGAATGGAGAGGTAGCAAGACGATCATTAAATGTGTTAAAATAGTTTGTGCAAACATTAAAGAAAGGCACAGACGTAATTTGGCCTAATAGTTTTCGAAAAAAGGCACCGGCCTCTCTTAAAACCAACTTATTAGTTCAGTCAATGGACATGGCATTAAATATATAGTTTAATAGGCCTGGCCGGCGCCTTTCCATTAAAAGAAACAATTCATTGAGGAAAATAAATAATACCTTGTGGTTCCATTGTCCTCCAAATACTTTTTTCTTCCTGCGGGATCTTCTTTGAAATCGTCGACCAATTTTTGCTCGAAAGCGCCAGAAAACGGAATAATAAGGGAACCAGGGTCTTGTTTGTCTACCCACTCCTTAATTTTGATTAACCTACAAATTACAATATTGTTAACAGTCACCTAACGGTTTTGGTCGACATACGGAAGCCAGATTAATGAAGTATTTGTATAGTCAATATGTTTTTATGTTAGAAAGAAAAACCACAAAACAGATTTGTAGTAGGTAATAATATTATAATAGGAAGGGTTGATGTGATTATAATTTGCCGTTATACTATGTAAAAAATAGGTCAATTTAAAAAGGTAGGTAGGTTTTTAGTAAAACTATTTTTTAGATCAAAGGAAATTGAAATTTTCTTTTTATACTCCCACCTTTAAAACGCCCATTATCGTACATGTTTCCATGACACTAAGTGACCTTTTAAATACACGACAAGCTGTGGATTTATGGCGCTTTAGTCACTGGATGAAGTTAGTTTTAAGTTATGTAGTTAACAGTTGTCAAATGTCATACAATAGTTAAAATAAAGGGCATTTCTTGTAAAACAATACTAAATGTGAAAATGATTTTATTATCTCAATACAAAAGTATTAAATAGTTTCTTGACGCCAATATTTGAAAAAAATATATGAACGTTTGTACTTAACTTTTGATTTTGTGCCGTAGTAGTGCAGTTAACTAGATTTAACTGATAAAATTAAAAATTAATTACTTGGAATCTGTGCCTCACAAAATTTATTTATTTAACAACCAGACTGTAAGTGTCCAGAAATAGAATTTCGCCTATTGGAGGTAATAAACTACCTGTACATAGTTCCGGTACATAACTTAAAACTAGGATCTTAAAACTAAACTAAAACTAAAATAATAAATATTTTCTTTATCATTACAACTACAGTTTATAATTCCACATTTAATACTATTAAGTAAATAATGAATTATAATAGTTATAATTATAATAATAATAATAATTATTGGTACAGTTTTTGGTAATCCAGCCTTTAAAAATTTTTTTAAACTGAAAACTAAATCTGTTTTTTGGGTTATTTACAACTTTGATGTTATTAGGTTACATGTTGAAGACTGATTGTAGAGACTAGTTTTTTTTACCAACTGCAAGCTTGACTTGACAGTACACTACTTTTAAACCTAGTTTTTTATTACAATTTTTGTAAATAATGTTCAAGTTATTAAAATTGATAAGTATGGTTTTCAAATAGTAATTTTGATAAATATCAAGATGTTTGTCACAAAACTGATCATTTCCCAGAATTATCCTTAGCATCCTTTTCTGCAAGTTTATAAGTGGCTAGGCTAGTAAATAGACCATAGTAAATTACTAACAGTGATTTTGTGTTTAATATATACTTTAATTTTGCAAAAACAAATAGGAGATACCTAAGACGCTTTGTAACCCATTCGATATACTCCCGCCACTTCATTTGTGTATCAATAACTACTCCAAGGTATTTTGTACTTTTTACTCTTTTTATTAAATGGTTGTCGATTTTAATATTAACAGTGGCAGGATATATATCTATGTAATTAACACTGTTTTATCTATATTTAGAGATAGTTGATTGTCTTTAAGCCATTTTGAAATTAAAGTTAAAAAGTGATTAATTTTTTCAGTTACTGATTTCCAGCTAGCATCAGTGTACAATAGAGCTGTATCGTCAGCGAAGGCTACTATGTTTTCAGATGGAAGAAAACGAAAAACATCATTTACATAAACCAGAAATAACACAGGACCAAGGATTGTACCTTGTGGAACCCCCATAGTCAACTCACGCTTACAACTTTCAATACCATTTATATTTACGTATTGGCTTCTTTCATTTAAGTAACTTCTGATCAATGTCAATACCGTTCAGCGAATGTCATAGTAGTATAGTTTTTCTAGAAGTCTTACGTGTTTGACTGATATTACATTGAAAATGTCAAAAAATTTGCAAAACTTATTATGAATTAATTTCTCAAAGACCTTAGCTAAATTTGATATTAAAGAAATAGGACGATAATTGTTGCATTGATATGGCCTACCCCACTACCCCACCATTTTTGTTTTTTAAATAATGACTAGTTTTTTCAACCCCTTAACTGGGTAACTGGAGACATAAAAATAGAATTTAATAGAATATTTCAAGTTGATTTGTAATCTTTAGATTATTTTCTATCCACGTACACGCATAACAAACAATAAACGCGCATTAACAGAGCTCCCGGTAATTAACCCCCCTTCCTCCCAATAGATGGATCTAATGGGCAATAATAACAATAAAATAATTAGGCTAAAAGCAGGCAGGCAACGTCGATGAACATTAGCTCGTGACTGACACCGTCATGGCAAACTGCGATCCATAATGTATAGCAACCTGATTGCTTTGATCTGTCGCCGACAAAGCCATCAATTGCCCGCTAATTCGCCATTAATAACGTGTCGCCGAATATGAAGTCTTAATTAATGCATAATTGTAACGACAGTGGCGCGCCAAGCGATTCAGATTTCAATGATTGGAGACCTCGGGGAAAAAGGTGGGATGTTTTACATTTTTCAATACTAAAAATTGTTTTTTACGTTTTTTAATTCGTTTGTAGGAAGAAGTGTTTAAAAAAACGATTTTTGAGATTTAATAGTTGTAAGTTGTAACATAAGGTAGTGATTAATAATGGTTTACGTACCTAAAAGAATAACGCAACTTTTAATTGTATTTCCAACATCTGTTTTTAGATTATGTTCATAGTTCCTTAAACCAATTTAATATTAACAAACATAATTTTAAGAACTTTATACTAAAATACTGTTAGTAGTTTTATAACAAGTAAAAAGGTTTGAACGAATTTGCTTATGTTTTTACCTTCAAAAACAAAGATGGCAATATAAAGTGAAACAGGGATGGCTAGATTTTTCTCTTGCAATATATACCCTCTCTCTCATACTTATACAACTCTTGCAATATTTTTTTGAATTCTACTGCCCCAAAAATTGTTCAGCGAAAAAAAACATTTGCAACAAATGACCAACACTTGCAAGGTTCAATTTTTACGTTTAAGTTAACAATATATCCCAGTCATTTACTGAGAGATATTTTTATGATTAACCTAAGTAATTACTTTTACAACAACTAATTACTCACCATTTATTCTTCTTTTTAATATAATCCTTTTCCGTTAGGTTAACCAAATAGAGTGCAGGTTTTGATGTGAGGAATAAATATTTGTTGAGAACTTCAATCTGAATTAAAAAAATATTTTAATTTTTATATTTGAACGTTGACATCGTCAAAAATGTTGTTCTAATAGTGTATGTAATACTATACTTTATCTACTCCAGTAACTAGATAATTAACTCTCTAAAATGAAATGGTCAAAATTCACTATTTGAATTAGTACCAGCATTTTTTACTAATAAAATAGTCGTTTTTACTTTTAAATTAGTTAATTAAGTTATTTTTTACTACGTAAATAGTTAAAGTTTTACTTATTAAAGATTAGTCACCATCTTTGACTATTTCTGAGAGTTAAAAGTAACTAATTTCTTTAATCGTTTGCGGCCAACAACAGCTCCATGGTTAAATGACCCATAATAACAAATAAAGATGCAAAAAGTTTAGCTCAAAACAGCATCACAAATAATATATTCAACTTTAAAATATAATGAACAATATTTATTGACAAATAAAATTGATTTTTATAAGAGCGGCTGATAGCCGAGTGGGTTATGACAACAGCTTGACAAGTGACAGACCTAAGTTCAATCCCCGGCTGGGTCAAAACTTTTTTAAATTTAAATCTACTAATTTGACTAGGTATTTCATTCAGTAGAATTTGACTAATTATAATTATTAGTGACTGCTTTTTCGCTATGACAATTAGTCAAATATGACTTAATAATAATAATTAGTTATTTTTGACTGATTCATTTTAAGAGAGAAATGATTTTCAAAAATAAATAAAAAAACCAACATCTGTCAAATGATTAACCTCACTTTTTACTCATTTTAAATGTTATAGTTGGTTTCTCCCAATTTAAAACCCGATTGGTTTAAATCACAGTGAATATTGAAATCGGCCAATCAATGATACATAGCAATTTGAATAATGAGTTCATTATTCCCTTTGTTAGGCAGGGAATTTATAATGTTTATCATTATTTACGAAAAAAACAATATTATGCAATAGAAGAGATCAATATTATTACTATTTGTGAGTATGGTAAATTAAAATTGACATTTGACAGTTTGATGACAGTCTTGATAGAATAAGGTTAATTTTTTACAAAAGAGGAGTAAAATGGTTGTCCTTAGCAATTTAAGGCTTCATTTAAGGCTTATAAGTGCCTCTGTAAGAAACACAACGTTTAAAACGATTTTTAATTTGTATAAACAGCACAACCCCAAAGCGCAAGAACTGTAATCAACATAAAAATGGCCGCCGTTAGAGTCTGTGCAGTGGGTTGCCTAACTTCGTAATTTTTAGAATGCGCGAAATGCCCAAATTAAAGACTGGAAACAAATTGATTTACCATAGAAATTCCACCATATTTTAATATTGTTTAATATATTTCCGAAAGGCAGCAAAAACTATTATGAAGGATGCATTTTTTTTGAAAAACAAATAAAAAAAACAGTTTTTTATATATTATATTTATATATAGCTTTAGTCCTCATATCGAACAACGACTTATTTAGTTTAGTTTAAGATCGTCGGATAGCATTTCTCGAGGCTAGAAAACAACAATACAACAACACTGTTCAATTCAAATTCAATTCAATTAGATTTTATCGATTCCCCTTGTGCAGTATCAACAGAGAACGTTGAATAGAACATTATGAATTCAATTTACGTACAACAAATCGTTCGTCGGCTCGTTTTTGATTTTTTGTATTTATCATCGAGCGCGTTGAACAAGAACAACGATAAGAAAGAAGAAATGGAAAATAGCGGAGACGCGGTGTGGCGCGAGAGTGACTCGACATTACGCTAATGTGGCACAATAATATCACCACCTGGTGGTTTTCATTGTGTCCCTCAAGCATTGACACTCTCGGAGATGTTTGAAACACTCGCAGCGGGATTGATAGGAAAAATCAGGACCGAATCAAAGAAAGTCTTCCTTAGATATTGGATTCTACGAAGGCCTAGAAGGGACCAACAAATTTTTTAAAAGTTTCAGCCAAAAACAACTTTGATTTAAGCAATTTATATTCTACAATTGTGGGTTCATCCTACAATGGGGTAGTTAAATTTTTTCTGACCTATACTTTTTATGGTTTTATTCAAGGCGTTTTGTAATTTTAAACATTTCTGTGAAATCGGAATTTCAATTGAGTTTACAGTTTTCGAGATATTTACAAAAAAAAATCTCCTAATTACGTCACTAGGCTATTGACAACGTTGCCAGCTTTTTCTATGGTTGCCAGTGTGTTTAGTTTAAGATAGATGGCGCCACGTTATAATATTTTAGTTTTAAAACCACTTGATCTATAATTTTAGTTGAGAAGAAGAAGAAGAATTGATTTTTTGACGTTTCTTTTTTTCGCGTTATGTTTTTTTTTAATTTAGATTATTGAAAATCAATGTTATTGTTATGTTATTTGTAATTGATATTAGATAAGTGATTTATTAATAACGGACTCCAAAGCAGAGGAATCTTGTGGAATGGTTGGTTACATTGAACATTGGAGCTTTTAAACAAATAAAGTAAGTACCTATAATTATAAACATATTTTGTCGTAAATGCATTTCATTAGTATAATGCCTAGTTCTTTAAATTCTTTTAGATATATCTTGGACTCTAAAATATCAAACAGTAATATGATACCTCGTAATAAGGAAGATAGGTACTTAATGAATTTGGTGACCATCTTTCACTCAACTGACAGTATTTGTACATAACCTCTTCGGGTATTTTCTGACATAACCGAATAAAATCATTAACAAGACAACTTGACAACAGGGTAATTTTCAACCAATATAAATCTTAGAATGTTGGTCACATGGCGAGGTTTGTGACATCATAAAAATTTATATTTTTTGTAAATATCTCGAAAACGTTAAACTCAATTGAAATTATGATTTCACAGAAATGTTTAATATTACAAAACGCCTTGAATAAAACCATAAAAAGTATAGGTCAGAAAAAATTTAACTAACCCATTGTAACTTAAACTTACAAGTTCAAAGTTACAATTCAATACAAAAGAGATTTATTAAATTAGCAAAAGGTTAAAATCCTGAAATATAAAAACAAAAATGATGTATATTATTGAGACTATAGTTTAGTTAGACTTTGTGACTTGATTTTTGTTAAATACAGTTCTGTATAGTCAAAATTAAAACTACCAATAATATAATACACAACAACATTGCCTTTCTCGGTGGTAACAGGTTCAAAATGACTAGTGTAAATTCCACCAACTAAACGGTCATTTATCAAACAAAATTTTCGATGTAATTGTGACAGATGAATCGTTAAAATTTACTTCGACGGTGTGCGTAAAAAATTTATGAATTTAAAGTTAATTTATCATTTTGCCGATAGTCAGCTAGTTCGGTTTATAAGGAGTCATCTTCCAAGTTCATTCAATGATTCAATGTTGAAAATAATAATTAAAAAATATAATTACTTACATCTTTAACATCCCAATCAGCGAATCTAATGTGTTTCTTGTCGTCTACCAAAACAGATTTTACTTTTTGTAGAGTATCCTGAAAGAAAAACAAAACAATACTATAATAATTATTAATATGTAATTTTTTATTTTTTTCTGCCGTGGTTTATGATTTTGTTGCCGTTTAATTATTAAGAGTAAGGGTGAAAGGATTACGTGGGCAAGCCAAAATGATGACATTACTAAATAAGTATAAGCTACAATGATGACGATCTAAAATAATAAGATTCTTAAATGACAGTGTAAAATGATGACGTGATGAAATAAGGATAAGCCAAAATGATGACTCCTAAATAAGTATAAGCTAAAATAGACGATTAATATTTAAGAATTTTAACATTTTAATGTTAAAATTCTTAAATGACATGATAAAATAATGACGTGGTGAAATAGGGAGAAGCCAAAATGATGACTTTTCTAAATAAGTTTGAGCTAAAATAATGACGATCTAAAATAATAGAGAGCTAAAATGATAACATTCCTAAAAGACGACAAAGTAAAATGATGACATGTTGAAATAAGGACAAGCCAAAATGATGACTTTTCTAAATAAGTATGAGCTAAAATGATGACATTCTTAAATTACGACAAGCTAAAATGATAAGACCTAAAATAATGGCGAGAAAATGATAACATTCCTAAAGGACGACAAAGTAAAAAAAACGTAGTGTAATAAGGACAAGCCAAAATGATGACTCCCAAATAAGTATGAGCTAAAATGATGACTTTAATAAAGGACAACAAGGTAAAAAGATGTCGTGGTGAAATCAGGAAAAGTCAAAATGATGATTTTCCTAAATAAGTATGGGCTCCAATGATGACATTCTTAAATTACGACAAGCTTAAATAATAACGGGCTTCTTAAAGGACAACAAGGTAAAAGGATGACGTGGTGAAATAAGGATAAAGGACTTTCTAAATGAGTATGACCTAAAATGATGACATTATTAAAAGAGGACAAAGCAAAAGGATGACGTAATGTAATACGGACAAGTTAAAATGACGATCAAAAATAATGGCATCCTAAAATGATAACATTGTTAAAAGACGGCAAGATAAAAGGATGACGTGGTGTAGTACAAGCCAAAATGATGACATTTCTAAAAGAGTATATGCTAAAATGATGACAAGCTAAAATGATGATCCTAAAGGAGTATGAGCTAAAATAATAACATTCTTAAATGACGACAAGCTATAATAATGTCGATCTAAAATTGCCACAAGCTAAAATAAGAAGAAGCTAAAATGACGATCTAAAATAATGGCATGCTAAAATGATAACATGGTTAAAGGACGGCAAGATAAAAGGATAAAGGGATAATAAGGACAAGCCAAAATGACGAAATTTCTAAAAGAGTATATGCTAAAATGATGACAAGCTAAAATGATAACATTCTTAAATGACAATGTAAAAGGATGACGCGTCATGACGGGCTGAAATTAGTACAAGCCAAAATGATGACATTCTTAAATGAGTTTGAGTTAAACAAATGACGTGTTTCTCGGAAAAACATCATTAGTCCAAAATTAACATGTTTGGGAAAATGAAAAAAACTCTCTGACATTCCCATTTTTGACCAAAGTACTTTATTGACCTGTTTACTACATGCAAAAAAAATGTTAGATACTTTATCCAGAATTCCTCATGTTTTTTTTTCCGACGAATATGAAAAAAACACAAAAAATACATGAACATGTGAGGTTTTTAGAAGAAAAAAACGAACAATTCTCCTTACTACAAACACTAGAAACTAAATATTAACTCTGAGTAACAAAATAAATTAAAAAAACTAAAAACTGTATTACTGCCACACTCAGTCTTCGCATCCACTGCTGTTATCATCGTTGTCGACCGTGTTATCAGGACTGTCAGGTGCTATGGTCTTCTGGTCTTTTATCAAGTTATCATAACATTTTCTATTGCTGTGGTCATGTAAAAGAGGTAGAAGCTTTTCTAGAGTGTTCAAAAACGTCATATGTTATGCACATGTGACTTTCTTAGACGAAACGGAGTGGACTTGTGATGTTTTTAGAAGAACAAGCTAAATTTCATATTTAATTATTATGGAACCTATGACATTTTTACGAGAAACACTTATTTGTATACGTATATATGGAGGTTAGAAAACAGTTGGTGCTAATATCTAAATTTCGACGATATTGGACTAATGATGTTTTTCCGAGAAACGCCTCAAATACTGACATTCTTAAATGACTACAAGCTATAATGATGACGATCTAAAATAGTGACGTGTTAAAATAAGGAGAATCTAAAATAAGAACAAGCTTTTTAAAGGACGACCAAGTAAAAGGATGAAGTAGTGTAATACAGACAAGCCAAAAATTACGACAAACAAAAATTGTGACAAGCTAAAATAAGAAAAAGCTAAAATAATCTAAAATAATGGCATGCTAAAATAAGAAGAAGCTAAAATGACGATCTAAAATAATGGCATGCTAAAATGATAACATTGGAAGGCAAGATAAAAGGATGACGTGGTATTATAAGGACAAGCCAAAATGATGACATTTCTAAAAGTTAAGTTAAAATATTGACTTTCTTAAATGACGCCAAGCTAAAATGAAGGCAAGCTATAATTATGTCGATCTAAAATTGCCACAAGCTAAAATAAGGAGAAGCTAAAATGACGATATAAAATAATGGCATGCTAAAATGATAACATTGTTAAAGGACGGCAAGATAAAAGGATGACGTGGTGTAGTAAGGACAAACCAAAATGATGACATTTCTCAAAGAGTATATGCTAAAATGATGACAAGCTAAAATGATGATGATCCTAAAGGAGTATAAGCTAAAATAATGACAGTCTTAAATGACGAAAAGCTAAAATGAAGACAAGTTATAATGATGTCGATCTAAAATGCCACAAGCTAAAATAAGAAGAAGCTAAAAAGACGATCTAAAATAATGGTATGCTAAAATGATAACATTGTTAAAGGACGGCAAGGTAAAAGGATGACGTGGTATAATAAGGACAAGCCAAAATTATGACATTTCTAAAAGAGTATATGCTAAAAGGATAACATTCTTAAATGACAATGTAAAAGGATGACGGGTCATGACGTGCTGAAATTAGTACAAGCCAAAATGATGATATTCCTAAATGAGTTTGAGGTAAACAAATACTGCCATTCTTAAAGAACGACAAGCAAAAATGAAGGCAAGCTATAATGATGACGATCTAAAATATTGACATGTTAAAATAAGGACAAGCTTCTTAAAGGACGACCAAGTAAATAAAGTGTAATACAGAGCCTAAAAATTATGACAAACACAAATTGCGACAAGCTTAAATAAGAACAAGCTAAAATGACTATCTAAAAAAGGGCATGCTAAAATGTTAACATTGTTAAAGGACGGCAAGATAAAAGGATGATGTGGTGTAGTAAGGACAAGCCAAACTGATTACATTTCTAAAAGAGTATATGCTAAAATGATGGCAAGCAAAAATAATGATGATCCTAAAGGAGTATGAGCTACAATAATGACATTCTTAAATGACGACAAGCTAAATAAACACAATTAGGCTGAACTAAGAAAAATTAATTTATTTTGCAATCCATTTATTCTCTATCGTAAACTAATTAAATTTAGCCGATTTCCTGAAGAGAGTGTCGATACAAATCGGTCATTGTGTTCGTTTGTTAGCGAGCACACAGAGCCGCGGAAAAAACCATTATCGACACCTGTGGGGCGGACTCGGCCCGCGGGGGGCCGTCACCCGCCGCATGGGGCACCATGGGGGGACCGCCCCGTGTACTAAGCGGCCCGTGGCCCGCATCACGACCTGTCAGATTAGGATTTTCGGCCGCGTGCCCAAAGCAACGGCAAAAAAAGAATAGTGTTTTGTAGAGTTGGGATTTATTCAGGATCGTTTTTACAAATTACATTTTTAAGTGACTAAAATACACTCACAGGCAAAATAATCGATCCACACAAATTTTCGATGAATTTCAATCGCAAATAACTTTTTTATTTGATGTCGGATTTAAACGAATATTGAAGAATCTTGTTGATAAATTAATGTACAATCGCTCACATTTTAAAAAAATACTAAAAAATAGATGTACGTTTATAATATACAGGTTTAATAAAAAATATGTTTTTTACCATAAGTTTAAGACACTCTGTAGAGTGGCAAAACCGTATATTGTTCTAAATTAAGATTTATTTATCAAGTCACATCTATTCTTAACAGTTTTGTTTTTGGTTCACCTAGATATATTTATTTTTGTGGAAAATATAGATTTTTTTAAAAAATATTACAATTTCCAATATTTTTTCTGCATGAAGAACTAAGGTTGCTATGGTCTATCCATAGGCTATGAAGGATGACAGTGACAGTTTTGTTGAATGATCCCATAATTGGACTTGTCATACACAGCTTTCAAAAGCTATCAAATTGTTTTTTGCAAGTTAATGTTTAAATTTTGAGGTGTCTTCTTACTTAAAAATGGATATGTCTTCGACTGATGTTGCCAGAGCCATTAATTTAATCCAGGATGGACGGTCACAGTATTACGTAGCAAGTGTTTTAAACGTCACAAGAAGTAAAGTAAAAAGGGCAACATCAGTCGGAGACATTTTTAAAAGTAAGAAGACACCTTAAAATTAACACATTAATTTACAAAAAACAATTTGATAGCTTTTGAAAGCTGTATACATGACATGTCCAAGTATGGAATGATTCAACAAAACTGTCACTGTCATCCTCCATAGGCTATGGATGGACCATAGCAACCTTAGTTCTTTATACAGGAAAAATATTGGAAATTGCAATGTTTTTTTTTTAATTCATATTTTCCACCAAAATAAATATATCAAGGTGAACCAAAAACAAAACTGTTAAAAATATATGTGACTTGATAATTAAAACTTAATTTAGAACAATATACGGTTTTGCCACTCTACAGAGTGTCTTAAACTTATGGTAAAAAACATCTTTTTGTTTAAACCTGTATATTATAAACGTACGTCTATTTTTTAGTAATTTTTTAAAACGTGAGCGATTGTCCATTAATTTATCTACAATATTCTTTAATATTCGTTTAAATCCGACATCAAATAAAAAAGTCATTTGCGATTGAAATTCATCGAAAATTTGTGTGGATCAATTATTTTGCCTGTAAGTGTATATAATTCAAAATTTGGAAAAAATTACAGAAAATTTAAATAAAAAACATTTGACTTAAAATGTCTTCAAAATTGTATATATGATTGTGTGAGGCATCAAGTAATTTTAGATTTTATTACAGCACAAATTCCAAAAAAATATTGATCAAAGTTACATTTGTATACAGTGTTTTATTTTTACTATGGAAATTTTAAATAAATGTATTAATTTGGTTAGTTAAAAAAAATATTTGGAAAAGCCAGCGTTATTTTGATAAAATTATAAAAAAAAACACAAAAATGTTAAAAATTATGAAAAATCATAACAAAAAAGTTATGTATTACTAGAAAATCGTAAAAAATACAAAAAATAACATTTTGGAAATATCCACATGACAAACTAAAAAATGAAGTAAGTTATAAAAAATCTGTAAAAACTAACTAAATAAGAATAATCTATAAAATTTTTATAAAGTTAAGATGAGTTTGCACTAAATGAATATCTCATTCATCAAATTTACATCATACAAGGCGTACGACAAGCATTTAATGTTAAATGGTTGTAGGTGACAGAAAATAAATGAAAAATAAAAAAGTTTGATTCATGATATGCATAACGTGACTTGGCACGTTTTGTGCCGTACCCAAAATTTTTGTGGCAATTGTGGTTAGATAACATCTACCTTAAAAGGTACTAATGTATGGGTTTGTTTACAACTTTAATAGTTATTTATGTCATTAGGTTAAGAAGTAAGGCTTTTTGTGCTAAGCTACAATTGAGCGAAGCACAAAAAGGCACTTCTTGGCCGAATGGCATGCAACATTTTATCTTCAAAGTACTTTATATAGGTCAATTTAATGCAACATCAAAGCGGCCTAACCTCACTTTTTTAGAATCTCATTTATTTATTAGCTAAAGATTACATTAAATGTACAATAATTATTATTGCTTTTAGAAGCAGTAATATTTTTACAATAACTAGCAACATAATTTAAGTAGAAATGGATTTTTGCTATTACATTGAATTCAATTAGTTGTTTAATAAATAGGTAGGTATCTAATTTTAATTTGTTTGGATTTTTATTTTAAAAAATAGGTAGTTTGAAATGTTTAAGCTGTGTTTAACATTTAATCTCACTGAAAACTTAAAGCAAATTTAAATTTAAATCGTAGAAAAAGAATCGTGCGTTTTCTTGGTTGCCTAACCTCACTTTTTGTTTTATTATTCATAATTAATTTTACAATAATTTAATGAAAAATATTAAACATTAACAGTAAAACAAACAAATTAGTGCTTATTATAAATAAATTAAACCAGTTTAGTACGTTAATTTCTTAAAAAAGGATTAATTTTTCAAAACAATACCCCTAGCGAGAAAAAATAAACATAACAAGGTATTTCTTTATCGAACGTTGACAACAATAAAGTTTAAATTATAGACAGCGTGGAGATAAAATTGTTTAAGTATTTTACTTACATATTCAGATTTAAGTTTCTTGTCGCCGGCTCTGTTGGCAACTTTGTCGAGTTTTTCGATGGCTTTCGTCAAAGTTTCTTCGTCCTTAAGTCTCAACTCTTCAGCGATGATGTCCAGATCTCTTACGGGGTTCACGTCTCCTTCTACGTGGGTGACGTCATCATCCTCGAATGCTCCTTTGGAGGAATATTTTTAATATTTTTATTTGCGTTTGAAAAGTTTAGGTGTGACTTACTGCACAGGTGGAAAATTGCGTCGCAAGCGCTGATGTGGGATAAAAATGCGTTACCCAAACCTTGACCCTCTGAGGCACCTTTGACCAAACCAGCGATGTCCACCACATTTAAAAATGCCGGTACTTTGCTGTAAAGAAGTGAAATAAACCAAATTAATACAAAATAAAGTTTTCGTTTTGGCTTAAAAAATTCTTTTTAAATATTAACCAATCCTTAAATTAAAAAGATTTAATTTCTTAGCTTAAAATCAAGTAAATTTGAAACAAGATGATGGACCTAATATTGTCAAGGCTAAAACTAATATTAAACTAAATATTAATCATTCTTTAAACAAGCAGATCTTATTCTTGCCTGTTAAATGTTAAGAAAGACTTTAAATGAAATAATCTTATTCTTAATTTAAGATTAACAATCTATTAGCCCCCACTCACGAAAGTGTCGGACATTTTGAAATATTGTTTGTTGTGTTAGTTAATATTTGGTTCGGAATTATGAAAGAGCTGCTAAATTAGTGGAATTTGATGGAATTAACCACCAAATGTATCTGTAGGTAATAATTATTCCATAATTATATTTATGTGTGTAGTTTTGTGTATTGATTATAGATTATAGGATAGGATGTATAGATTATAGGTACGAATAAAAATTTTGGTTAAACAACAATCAACGTGTCTGAAGGTTTGAAAAAATAATTGCAGTGCTCTCTAAAAATGAATTAGTCAAAAATGACTAATTTAATTGTTATTAGTGGCTGCTTTTTCACTTGTACCATGGTTAACAATGGAATACCATGGTATCCCAAAATTTAACATCCAATTCTTATGTAAAATTGTCCCCTGAATTCGAAAATTATGAAAGTGGAGCAGTTTTTGAGATATAGTCAATTCCATATTAAATGGAAAATTGACTATATCTCAAAAACTTTTCTACTTTTTTAACTTTTGACGACATTTTCGGATTTTGGGATACCATGGTATTCCATGGTTAACTTGGGTACAAGTGAAAAAGCAGCCACTAATAACTATTAAATTAGTCATTTTTGACTAATTCATTTTTAGAGAGTATACATTATATATATATATGTAGGTAGATAGTAGGGTGAGCCAAAAAAACTACCCTATCGGATTTATGGGTTAAAATTAACCTACATACCGAGCAAAAAATTTTCCTGCAAGGAAAAATTTTTTGCTCAATTTTAAAAGGTGTCGGTGAGCATTCTAAGTTTTCCATTGAAATAACACGTAAAAAAATCTTTTTTCATTAAAAAAAATATAACTTTTGAACCGTTTGAGATAAAAATTTTTACGTCGCGGATTCTTGTAGAGCATAAAATTTCCTACAAAATCTATCCCAGAATTATTTTTTTTCAATTTAAAAATTCGTATATTTGAAAGCTTTGAAAAGTGAAAAAAATCATAATATTTAGTTTTAGTGTTTTTTGACTAAAAATGTTCATTAGGGTGTTTCATTTAAAACGAAAATTTTTTTTTCCTGCTGACACATGAAAATTTCGGTTTTTAGGTTGAAAAAAAAATTCCCTGAAAATTTGAGCCCTTAATTTTGATTCTAAGTACTTCCTTTTTAATTTTGTAGTTTTTCCATATAAAAAGCATGTATTTTTAATCATTTTTACTTTAAATTTCTATATTTTGGGCGGGTTTTGAATTATAATTTTTATCACCATAATAAAGGCCCTGCATCAATTTTGTTTTTGATTTATTTACGTTTTTTGTAGTAGCTCCAAAAGTCGTTTTTTCACTTTTTCTCATATTTTTGAGAAAATCGAGCGAATGACTGGTTTTACCGAAAAAGTTCAAATAAAAAAGTTGTAGAAAATTTAATTTTTGACTAAAAAGGTTTATACGTTCATATCACTAAAGTGCTTTGTTTAAGAGATATAAGCAATATATAGTTGTTGAATGAAATTACATAAATTTCAATAAAACCTATTTTTTCTTTGTTTTTGGTTATTGAATTGCTTATATCTCTTAAACAAAGCACTTTAGTGATATGAACGTAAGAACCTTTTTTGTCAAAAATTAAATTTCCTACAACTTTTTTATTTGAACTTTTTGGGTAAAACCAGTCATTCTATGGATTTTCTCAAAAATATGTGAGAAAAAGTGAAAAAAACGACTTTTGGAGCTACTACAAACAACGTAAATAAATCAAAAACAAAATTGATGCAGGGCCTTTCAAAAACCGTGAATATGAAACCAGAAAATTATGGTGATAAAAATTATAATTCAAAACCCAGCCAAAATATAGAAATTTAAAGTAAAAATGATTAAAAATACATGCTTTTTATATGGAAAAACTACAAAATTAAAAAGGAAGTACTTAGAATCAAAATTAAGTGCTCAAATTTTCAGGAAATTTTTTTTTCAACCTAAAAACCGAAATTTTCATGTGTCAGCAAGAAAAAAAAATTTTTCGTTTTAAATGAAACACCCTAATGAACATTTTTAGTCAAAAAACACTAAAACTAAATATTATGATTTTTTTCACTTTTCAAAGCTTTCAAATATACGAATTTTTAAATTGAAAAAGAATAATTCTGGGATAGATTTTGTAAGAAATTTTATGCTCTACAAGAATCCGCGACATAAAAATTTTTATCTCAAACGGTTCAAAAGTTATATTTTTTTAAATGAAAAAAGATTTTTTTACGTGTTATTTCAATGGAAAACTTAAAATGCTCACCGACACCTTTTAAAATTGAGCAAAAAATTTTTCCTTGCAGGAAAATTTTTTGCTCGGTATGTAGGTTCATTTTAACCCATTAATCCGATAGGTTAGTTTTTTTGGATCACCCTAGTAGATAGGTATTTGAAACATTCTAAAAAAGTTATGTAATAAAGACAATGCTATAGACCAATATGGCTTTTTTCAGGTTAAGTTAAGCAATAATTGTTTCAAATATAGTCTATCCTTTTTTTAACTTTTGCTTGACTTTTAAGGTTAGGATATAATGATCATGTTCATTTTAAAAGGTAAATAGTCGATTATCCTAATCTACTATTTATTTACCTTTTGAAATAAACATGGTCATTATATCCTAAAGTCGGGAAAAAGTTAAAAAAAGAATAGACAATATTTTAAACAATTATTGCTTAACTTACACATCCAATCCAATAGTAAATATTGTATCGCCAAGAATTATAACATTTGTATAAAAAATATTTATTCTTAAAATAATCATAGTATATATTTTATTTTAGGGTGCTTGCATTTATATAGTAATAGTATGATAATTTTTCTTATAATAAGAATAGGTTTACCCTTGCACCTAACATTGAAATTATATCCAAATAAGTATAGGTTAGTTCTTGCATTCAACTCCCTATATCCTTCAAATAAGTATTAATTTAAATTATAAATAAGAATAAATCAATCCGTAAACTTATTGGCATAAATTTAGGAAAAGATTGAGCAAGTAAAAATAAGTCGAAAACCTAAATAAATATTTTTCCTAATTACTTATGTTTCCAAGATACAGGGTGATAAAGTATTACTTATCATATCAGTTTTTTTAATATAACTTCTACTATGGAAGTCTTGGAAAGGTGATATTTTGCGAACAGTCACTTACTACCAAAACACATATTCACACATAATTATAATTGTTTGAGTGAACACAGTGTCGAAGAAACTTTGAGGTTAGGTTTTTATAACATTTGATGCAATTTTTCGATTACACAGTTCGGCTACCATTTAAAAGCTGTACCTCTCAAACTTCGATAAAATAAACCGTTTCCGAGATATTCGAGATTACAATAATTGTTATATCGCATGATTTAAAAGGATTAAAAAATTTTATTTTTTAATTGAGTAATCTAAAAAAGGCATTCCATGAGCCTCGGGACGTTTTGCCCTGAACGTCACATTATAAAAAATTGTAGTTTTTTCAATTAAAAATTTGTTATATATATATATATATATATATATATATATATATAGATTTGTTTGACCGCACATACAGACCCAAATCGTCATACTTCGCCGCCTATACAGACCAAAATTGACGTTTTTAGACCCGGCTTCGGGACTGAAAAAGTTAATCATAGTATGGAAATCAGGGGGGTTGGTGGGTGCAGGGGGTAAATTTTTAGGTGGGCTTGAAAAGGCGGTGAAACATGATGAAATATACAGATTTAGTTCACGGTTCAGCCAGTTCGAGGGCGCCTCGGTCGGGCTCAGCTAGCTGTATATATTTGGCATAGTTAAACTACGTCTTCAAACCCTAAATTTGGCAACGCCGTTTGGTATATAAATAATGAATATGTATTTCACAGCTCTGATACAGTCCCGATATGCTCTTTATCATTTGGTCCAAAATCACACTTTCCTTCCTGAACGGAGATAAGTAAGCTTCAGATAGTAAAAAAAAAGTAAAATCTACTTTATCAAATTTTGAGGGTTATACTGTTAAATATTCGTCAGTAAAATTTAAATGTTAAATATTTAACACAATATATTATTTTTTTAGTATACATTTTTGGTAAATATTACTGTAAAAATATTAGTAGGTAGGTAATTTTTAATATGGTTGTATGGATGTGATTTACGTATAGTAATATTTATTGTATTATACAAAATATAAATAAAAAGATTTGCGAAATATCTCAAGATTATAAAGAACCTTACACTGTCTGTGGAACATGTAGTTGATAATTTTAATGGTAAGTATTTTTAATATCAATTTTCATTTCCGTTTATTTATTTATTATGATTATTATCATTATTAGCATTATTATAATATATATATCGTTATTATCATTATTATTATTATTATTATCATTAGCTTTCTAATTGTTGTATTATAATCAATACATATTGCCAAATTTGATTAATTGAATATTTACATGTGTTTTTAGAACCTACCTTCTTACTCTCTTAAAATGAATTAGTCAAAAATAACTAATTATAAGTCATATTTGACTAATTGTCATAGTGAAAAAGCAGTCACTAATAATTAGTAAAATTCCACTGAATGAAATAGTCAAATTAGTAAATTTAAATTTAAAAAAAGTTTTGACCCAGCCTGGGATTGAACTCAGGTCTGTCACTTGACAAGTTTGTCAAGCTAACGTCTTAACACATTCGGCTGTCAGCCGCTCTTATAAA